AAGTCACTGAGTTGTCTAGGCTTGTTTGGATCTTATAATTCTCCTCAGCCTCCAAGAGTGCTGGGATTACAGGTTTGTGCCACCATGCCTGGCTAAAGCTTACATATATTTTATTAAAATTCAAGGAAAAGGGCCAGGATTTAGCTCAGTGGTACTGTGCCTGCCTAGTAAGCACAAGGTCCTGAGTTCGATTCCCAGTACCAAAGGAAAAGAAAAACCTCAAGAAAAATCCAAGCATGGTGGTACATACTGTAATTCCAGCACCCTGATAAACTGAGGGAGGAGAATTGCAAGTTTAAACCCAGCATGCACAATTAGCAAGAATTTGTCTCAAAGTAATAATAAAAAGGGCTGAGCCCAGGCATTGTGACACATGGTTGTAATCCCAGTATCCAGAAGGCTGAGGCAGGAGGATCACCCTGAGTTCCAGGCCAGTCTGGCTATACATAGTTCTAGGCCAACCTGAACTACATAGCGAGACCCTGTCTCAAAAAAGGGGAGAAGGGCCGGGGATTTAGCTCAGTGGTTCCAGCACCTGCCTTGCAAGCACAAAGTGCAGAGTTCGATTCCCGGTACCAAAAAAACAAGGGGAGGGGGCTAGGGATGTAGCACAATGTGAAGGCCCTGTACTAAATAAATAAATAAATAAATTTATTTCTCCTTTATATTCCAAGAACACACTGTGCCTAGTCCTGCCACTGACCTCTCATTCTATTATATGTCTCCTTCCACTTGTACCCAGGGCACCCTGAAGGGAAGGACCTGGTCTTGTTGATCAATAGGTTCTCACTGTTCTGGCCACATCAGGACTTGTCTAGTGCTGCTATTCCCAAGTGGAGCAGTTTGGGAAGGTGTTGGTGTTGCACAGGAGGTGTTGTTCAGGTGTCCCAGGAAGTCACGGCCCCTGGAGGTGGGGAGGAGACTTGCAACAAACAAGATTTTATTCTGTTAGTTCAAGAAAAACCTCACCCCTATCACGAGCCCTAATTTGCAGGAGCGGAAATGGAAGTTCCCAGAGGCCAGGGGAATTGTCCACGTCTATAGAGTGAGTCATCGGCAATCTGATGACAGCATACATTTCCTGACCTCCCTGCCAGAGCCTGAGTCCTGCGCCTGGTTCACAGGGGTCTCTGCAGCTCCCATTTCTTTCTTGGCAACACGCTCATTGACCACCAGGGGGAGTCAGATGCGTGTTCATGGGAAAGCTGGGGACAGGCTTAAGGATTGTTGCGAATGTTCTTTGAATATTCGTTGGAGACACAAACCAGCTCGCTGGGCAGTCCTGGGACTGAAAGGGAGCAGCGGGTAAAGGGAGCCGTTCCGAAGAGCTGAGTTATGAAGGGAGGAGGAGCCAAGGGGATTGTGTTGCCTCCTCCTGGCCCTGCGGGAAAAGGACCGAGCTGGGGAAAGGCAGGCTCTCCAGAGGGGCGGGCCGCTGCCTCCACCTCCAGTCTCGGACTCCTTCAGAGACTGGAACAGACCGGACATTCCTGTCTCCGGCTGGGAGCCGGGAAATCAGACTTGGCGAGAGGCCTCCCTGCGGCTTGGGCCTGATCCCAAAGCGGCCTTGCCCCAGGACTTCCCGGGAGAGCCCACTGTGCTGCTGGGGCTGGGCTCCTGAAGGCGTCGCCCTCCGTGCACTACACACCGGCCCCATCCCCGGGCCAGGAATTGGTCAGACCACAACCTGCCCCCTGACTTGCTTTCTTCCGAAGGTCCCTCAGTGAATGTTGCCAGTGTTTGTGGCGCGCGCCACCGAGCCCGAATCTCCATTTCCCACGTCCAATCCATTTCCAGCTTCCCTGTCCACCTCCTGGTTTCCACCACGCCCTGTCGTCTCTCACCAGGATGGATGCTATTGCTTGGCTCTCCCCTGACAGCTTCTCCTCTTTTGCCCCCAATACCTGGCCAGGGGACAGACCTGATCATCTTTTCCAATTGTTAAACCATGTCCTCCACCTGCTGAAGCCTTCAATGGCTTTTCATTCCTCTTGAAATAAAGACCAAACGACTATCCAACACTCTGGGAGGCTGAGGCAGGAGGACCGAAAGTTCTAGGTCAGCCTGGGCAACTTAGTGACTGTGAGACCCTGTCTCAAAAAAATTTTTTTAAAGGGGAGGGAGCTGGGGACGTAGCTTAAGTGTGAAGGCTATGCATTCAATACCCAGTAACCCCCCCCCCCAAAAGATCAGACTCTTAGCCAGCCCATGGGTCCTACATGGTCTGGTCCTTCCTACCTCTCTGGCATCCTGCACCTTCACTCTGAGTTCAGCTATACTGGCCATGTTCCTCACAGGGCCTTTGCACATGCTGTTTCCTCTGGCTGGAAGCCAATGCTCTAGCACTGCTTCCTCTCAGACATCCTGGTTGATTTCCCTGACAAGGTCAGGTTCCTTATTCTTTCCTTACATCACATTCTTTGCTATTCACAGGTTGTCACAGTTGTGCATTTGTTTGTAATATTATTTAAGTAGTTATTGACAAAACTCCATGTGAACAAAGACCACATCAGTTTTTGATCACTTAAAAATCTCCAGCCGGTCACAGTAGTACAAGGCTGTAATCTTTCTTTCTTTTTTTTTTTGGTACCGGGGATCAAACTCGGGACCTTGTGCTTTCGAGGCAGGCGCTGGAACCACTGAGCTAAATTTCCAGCCCTGTAATCTCATTTAATGAGGAGAATGAAGCAGGAGAACAGCAAGTTCAAGGTCAGCCTGGGCAAATCAGTGAGATCTTGTCTCAAAACAAAATATAAAAAGGACTGGGGATGTAGCTTAGAGACATAGCACCCTTGGATTCAAGCCCCAGTACCAAGTGGGGGAAAAAAAACCCCCAGCACTACAGTGCCTGGCACATAGTAAGTGCCCAATAAATGTTTCTTGAATAGCTAAATTAAAAAAAAATTAACCTAGTTTGCTATACACTTACTCCTTTTTCCCAAGGCTCTATCATCTCTTATCCTGACATCAGGAATTACTTCTTGTCTCCCAGGGTTTTTGTTTTGTTTTGCTTTGTTTTTCCTATTTGGTTTTTGAGATAAGATCTCATTATGTACTGGCCTCAAACTTGCAGTGATCCTTCTGGCTCAGCCTCCCAAGTGCTGGATTACACGTGTGCGCCACCATGCCTGGTTCTCTGCCAGTTCAATAGAAGTCCCACCAGTGAGTCCCATTCAGAAGCCAGCGTGGCCTAATAAAATCACCAGTCCTGTCATGTTGGCCTTCCTACTCTCTTGTACCCTGTTTAGCCACTCCTTCCTATCCGCTCAGTGCTATGGGTGCTTGCTGCTTGTCCAGAAAGTGCTTCTCCCTCCCCTCCCTTCTCTACCTTCCTGACCTTGTCCAGCCCAAACACTGTGCAGTCAGGGAGATCTTACCAACAGAGCCAGGGTCAGACCCCCTGCTATATGCTTTGAAGCACTTATTGCTCCCTCTATGTCGCCTTCGAAGTACTCACAGGTTGTATTTTCACATTTGTTTGTGTGGTTCTCTGATTAATACCCATCTTCCCCATCAGAACACTCAGGAGTTTTAGGTCTGGTTTCTGCTTACCATAATGTCCCTCTGGTGCTTAGCAGGTGCTTCGCACGCAATTACTGACTGAATAAACGAGTGACTCTCGACAGTGTTCAGAGGGCACTGCCCTTTAGGGAAATGCTGGTGCCTCTGCCTCTGAATGAACAGGAGCTGGTGTCCAAGCTGGGGGATTAAGTGGGGTGTGCAAAGAGCTCTCACCAAGGAGAGGGCCCACGGGGCTGTCCCCTCCTGCCCTCCTCACCCTACCTTGCCTGTGACTTGGCCCCTGCCCACCTCTCCAGCTCCATCTACTCTTCCAGTTGCTCTCTATCCCCCAGCAACCCAGCTCCTGCTCCTTCTCTCGGGTCTGCCACAGGCTGGCCCCTACCCTGCGACTCCTCCCCTACTTGTTTTCACAGGGCTGGCTCACCCTCAACCTCATGCTTCAGGGAGGTGTGTGCGCGAACACTCGAGTGTGTGTTTGCGGTACTGGGGATAGAACTCAGGGCCTTTGCAATGAGCTATATTCCCAGCCCTTTTATTTGTATGGTTGGTTGTTTTTGGGGTTTTTTTTTGGTACTGGGGATCAAACTCAGGTCCTTGCACTTGCGCAGCAGGCGGTGAAACCACTGAGCTAAATCCTGGGCCTAGTTGTTTTTTTAAGATAAGTTCTCACTATGTAACTCAGGCTGGCCTCAAACTCATGGTGATCCTCCTGCCTCAGCTTCCTGAGTGCTGGAATTACAAGTGTGCACCACCACACCTGGCATTTTTTTTTTTTTTTTAATATTTTGAAACAGGGGCTCACTAAATTACCTAGCTTGAGTTTGAACTTGTGATTCTCCTGCCTCAGCCTCCTACAGTGCTCAGGTTACAAGTGTATATATCACCACACACAGCTCAGGTCAAATATAAATGTTCTCTCCATTATTTCTCATCCTTTTACTCAGTTCATGTCTTCTTTTTTTTTTTTCAGTACTGGAGATCGAACTCAGGACCTTGTGAGGCAGGTGCAGCATGTCTTCCTTTGTATCTCATAAAGGATATGAATTTATGTATTTGCTTATTATTTGTGTCCCTATCTGAGTTAGATGCTATGGGCCTTACATAACAGACAATCTAACTCACTTTGGTTTAAACAATCAGGGCATCGTCTAGAGAGGCCTGTTTGGGGGTTGGTCAGTTCAGTGATGTTCTTATGGACCTAGGGTCTGCTCATCTGGGTGCTCTGCCACTTGGTTACCAGGATGGGCGCATCACAGAGGGACCTTGTATCGTACAGGCAGGGCTTCCTCCTCATTATGTCTATTAACTACTGCAGTGTGACAAACTGAAATAAAATTTAGCAGTTTAAAGCATTTATTATTTGGGCATAGTGGTGCAAACCTGTAATCTCAGCTACTTGGGAGGTTGAGGCAGGAAGATTCCAAGTTTGAGGCCAGCCTAGGTAATTCAGCAAGACTGTATCTCAAAATAAAATTGTGGAAAGGAATGGAGGTGTAGCTCAGTGGTAGAGCACTTTCCTAGCATGCATGAGGCCCTGGGTTCAATCCCCAGTACTGTAGGGGGGGCACAGTCTCTAGTTAGAACCCCAGAAGTGGCTCAGATGGTTGGTTCTAGCTCTGGGTCTTTCAGGAGGGGACAGTCAAGCTGTTGAGGAGGACTGAAGTCATCTGAAGGCTAAACTGGGCTGGAGGATATGCTTCCAAATTCACTCACACGGCCCCCGGAAGGACGCTTCTACTTCTTGGTATGTGGGCCTCTGTGTCAGCTCTTCTGACCCAGGAGCTGCCTTCCTCCAGGATGAGCGACTCGAGCAGGAGTGGATCAAGACAGAGGGCGCAGTGCCTTTTATAATGGAATTGAGGCACAACATGCCCTTACTTCTACTGTATTCTATTGGTCACATGTGGGAAGGGCCCATACAAGGGTGTGAATAATAGGGGACATTGAGAGGTCACATCAGAGGCTGGCTCCACACTGTGTTTCTTTTCAAAAATGAGGAAGCTTTAGCCATGTATGGTGGCACATGCCTGTGATCCCAGGACTCTGGGAGGTTGAGGCAGGAAGATCTTGAGTCTGAGCCCAGCTTGGGCAACTTAGTGACGTAGTGAGACTGTCTCAAAATGAAAAGGGCTGGGATGTCAAGTTTAGTGTCAAGACCCTGGATTAAATCTGCAAGAAAAGAAAATAAAAGACAAGGAGAAGCAAAAGCTAAAAAGGTCTGGGGATGTAGCTTGGTTCAAAGGTCCTGAGTTCAAGCCCCTCATACTGGGGGGTGGGCAGGAGGCTTCTCTTTGTGTCTCTCGGCTGGTACCCGTGATGGGGTTAGATATCCCCAGGCCCTAGGCTCCTCAAGTTTGTCTTAGAATTCAGGAGCCCACCTGCTCCCACCCTTTACTGGCAGTGAGAACGACAGGCAGGATTGGCAGAATTATTCTCACTTTATTTCTGGAGAAGTTTGATCAGATGCAATAACACTGATTCCAGGTGAGGGCAGGGAGTGTGGGTACCCCTGAAGCAACCAGTATCCTGTGGCCCAAGGTGCCCCCAATTCCCAGACCCAGGTTCCCCCTCAGGTAGAGTTAAATAGAGAGGAAGATCACCCAGGGAGCCCGGGGAGGAGGGTCTGCCTCCTGAGCCCACCCCCTCCACATAGGCATCTGATCACAAGCTATTTACAGTATTCACATCCACTGTACCCCACCAAACCAAGGCAAATACTACAGGTGGCCCTTCCCCAAGGGGGGCCAGAGAGGCTGTGAGTGTATGTGTGTGTGGGAGGGGGTGTCTGTGCGTGTGATCACACGAATGCACTGAGGGGCAACGTCTGGCTCCAGCCATAGAGATGTCAGTCTATAAGGTGCAGATTAAAAATAACAAAGAGGACACACCCTCAGGGCCCCAGGCCACTTCCATCTTTGTTCTGTCTCTTTCTCCTCTGGACATCCTGGTAGGCGGTGCAGAGCCCTCACAGCCATGCCTGGATCCAAGGGTACCCTTAAAGGACTTCTGGGGGGAAGGGGAGGGGAAACAGTGAAACAGTCAGGGGGAAGCTGGCCCCCAAGCCCGGATCTCTGGGGCCTTCAGGGTGGAGCAAGGAGAGGGCCTGTCATGGAAGTGGAATGTGAGGGCAGGGCTGGAGTCCAGGGAAGGCTGCTGGGATGGATGAAGCTGTGTCCAGGAGTCAGAGGTCCCTACCTGTGACTTGTGGGGGCTGCACCACAGCTTTCTTGAGGAAGACTTCTGCCTCTGCAAAGGGCAGGAGTGCCTCTGGGGTTCTGCCCAGACTCTTGTCCCCAGAGGGTCCCTTGGGGGAGAAGCCATTCTCCTGATGTGCCGGGAGAGGCTGCAGCCCATTCACTAGGGACCCTGGCAGCTCCTTGCTTGGCAGGCTGTGAATATAGGGGCTCACAGTTAGCACCTCACCTCCCAGTGAAACCCAGGCCTCCCTATGGCTCCAGCCTGAGGCTGCCTCCTGTTCGGGGGTCCTAGGGGTGGGAAGCTGGTACCTCCACTGTGGCTCCTGGGAGGCTGGCTCCTCCTTCTGCATTGCCTCCTTCTGCAGCACTGAGGGCAGAGTCTCCACAGCTCTCTCAGGGTCTATCACAGAGAAGGAATGGCCGTCACCAGGAGTGGTGGGAGTGTGAGACTAGAGGACAGGGATGGTGGAGGCGAGAGAGGTGAGGGGAATAGGGCCTTTACCTGGGCTGGAATTGTTGGCTTTTGCCTCCTTTCTGTCCTGCTTCTGCTTTGAAGAGGAAGAGCAGTCAGCCAAAGGGCAATCTGAACCCACCTGACTGTGGTTCTGAGCTCCTCTCCCTCTCAGCCCACACCTCTTTCCTTGGCTCTGGATGCCTTTCTACAACCTCCTTTACTCATCCTGATCCCCAACTCCCACTTAGAGAATCCTCACCTTGGTTTCAGCAACTTCTGACTTCCGAGTCCTCTTCATTATCTCCTCCAGGCGCTGTAAGGAGGCCCCACATCAATGAGTCCCAACCTCGCCACAGCTGGCCGGGACAGGAGGCTCTCCTAGCTCACACCACCGCTTCCTTCCCAAGCCAGGAACCAGATGCTGCCCCGGCTTCTTGTTCTATTCTTGTTCTACCCGTTCTACCCGACCCAGCGCAGCTGGACCTAAGGAAGTAAGGCTAGCCCCGCCCACCAGCACTACACCCCGCCCACAGAGCCCACCCACCTCCCTGCACACCTTTCTGCGCTCCTGCCGCTCCTGCTCCTCCTTCTGGAAGTGCTTTTCCCGCTCCAGACGCTGCCGCTCGGCTTCTTCGCGAGATCGAGCTTCAGCTTCCTCTTTCTGCCGGAGATACGTGGGAGCGTTAGGCACCTGGCCAAGCGCTCCTCTGGGCCAGAGGCCCTGCGCCCAGCCAGACCGTCTGCCAGGCACCTGTTTCTGCAGCCGCTCCTGCTCCTCCTGCTCGGCTTGCGCCTTCTCTCGGGCCTCTTCCTCCTCCTGCCTCCGGGCCTCGGCCTCCCGCTCTGCTCGGGCCTCTGCCTCCCTTGCCAGCTGCTCCTCCCGCATTCGCCTGGAGGACAGGGAAAACTGTAGCTGGGTCCGAGCTTCTTCTCCAGTCCCACAAGGACTCACTCAATCGCAGAGGGCGAACTCACTTGTCCCTTTCTGCCTGCAGCCTCCGCTCCTGTTCCTCGCGCTCCCGCTGCTCCCGGGCCTGGCGCCGCTTCTCAGCCAGGAGCCGAGTAGCCTCTTCTCGGTCTGTGGTGCCCGCCATGGGCTTGCTAGGGGTCACCGGGGGAGCAGGGGCTGGGGGTGGGGTCAGGATAGCAGTATCTGGAGGAGGATCCAGAACCACGAGTCAGCGCACACCGGCACACCGGCACGGGCATCCTGCCTGCCGCTGTGCTTCCTGGACCACTCCACTGCTGCCCTCCCTAGGACTGGCTCCTGTTCTAAGACCTGGACCTGCCGTGGGCAGGACATCAGTCCGCAGGCATGCCCGGTGCTCCACACCCCTGACCACCTCCCCTGCCCATGCAAACCTGGCTTCTCTGTCCTGCCAGCCTGCTCTTCATGCCCACCTGCAGGGATCTCTGCAGTGGGCTGTGCTGGGCTAGGTGAGGGCGTGGGCGAGGGCGCTGGTGAGGCTGGGGCTGCTAGCTCCTTCCCCTCACAGGCCCTCCTCTTGCTCTGGTTCTTGTCCTCAGGGCCCGAGGTGCTGGGGCTCTCCTTTGCCTCCTCCTTCCTCCGAATGCGTCCCTTGGGCGATGCAGTGGTGCCTCGAGGAGATGGTGGTTTTGGAGGCAGAGTGTGGCTTGGGCCTGGGCTGGGGCAGGGGGAGGCAGGCCTGTGCCAGGACATGGAGGGAGAGGATGGGCGGGCCTTAGATTTGGGGCTGAGAAAAAAGGGAAGGGTTAGAGCTGCAGGGCACAGAATGCTGCAGCATGCACATACCCACTCCCTCTGAGCATGTTACTTTCTCAGGGAAGTATCCCCTCCCTTTGGCTAAGCACACACACCCCAACCTAGTTAACCTCACAAAAGCTTAACATTTCCTCTTTGTGCCTATATCCAGGTTTGTCCTGGGTATGGTGGTTCATGTCTGTAATCCCAGAATTCAAGAGGCTGAGTCAGGAGGATTGCAAATTCAAGGCAAACCTGGGCTACCTAATGAGTTCAAGGTCAGTCTGAGCTACATAGTGAGATTCTTCTTCAAATCCCCCACCTTAAACCAGGCCTGGTGGCACATGCCTGTAATCCCAGCACTCCGGAGGCTGAGGCAGGAGGATCGATTGCAAATTCAAGGCCAGCCTGAGCTACATAGTGAGTTCAGGGCCAGCCTGAACTACAAAGCAAAACCCTGTCTCAAAAAACAAAACAACCCCCTCCCAAAAAAAACCCTGATTTGCAATTACATTTTTCTTTTTCCAGTACCAGTTATTGAACTCAGGACCTTGTGCTTGCGAGGCAGGTGTGGCGCCACTGAGCTAAATCCCCAGCCCCTGCAATTACATATTAATTTGTGAGATGAATGTCTAATCTCCCCAATAGTTTGTACCCTTAATAAGAGCAGAAACCTCATTGGCTATGATACTGCCACTGCACAAAGATAAGAACTAAGAGCAGAAACTGCCAAAGATTAAGACTAGACCCATATCTTTAACTACATGCCAAACTAAAATCAAAATAGATCATGCCAGGGATTTAGCTCAGTGACACTGTGCCTGCCTTGCAAGCGCAAGGTCCTGAGTTCAATCCCCAGTAAAAAAAAAAAAAAAAGAAAGAAAGAAAAAAATCAAAGATCTAAATATTAAAACAGAAACACTGAATCTGCTGGAAGATAGTATAGGTATAACTTGTGAAGACACTGGTGTAAGCAAAGACTTCATGATTGGATAGGAAATATCACAAAGAATCAAAAACTGGGATCTCATCTTATTAAAAAGCTTTTGCACAGCAAAAGAAACTACCAACAGAATGAAGAGACAACCCACAGTGTGGGAAGAAACTTTTGCCAGCTGTTCCTCAAAGGACTACTATCTAGACTATATAAAGAACTCAAAAAAAAATCCAGAACTCAAATTTATAAAGAACTCAAATTTAAAGACCCAATCCAAAAATGGACATCTGAAATGAATAGATGCTTCTCAGACATGGAGAAACAACAAATAAATATATGAAAAAATGTTCAACATCACTGGTCATTCAAGATGCAAACTGAAACAATGCTGAGATTCCATCTCACTCCAGAAAGAATGGCTATTATTGGGCCGGGGATTTAGCTCAGTGGTTTCACCGCCTGCTGTGCAAGGGCAAGGACCTGAGTTTGATCCCTGGCACCAAAATAAATAAATAAATAAATAAATTGGCTATTATCAAGAAATCAACCAATAACAAATGCTGGCAGGGCTGTGAGAAAAAAGGAACCCTTCTCCACTATTGGTAGGAGTGTAGACTGGTGCAACCACTGTGGAAATCAGTGTAGAGATTTCTCAAAAAACTAAAACTAGAGGTTCCATTCGACCCAGCTATTCCCCTTCTGGGTATCTTTCTGAAAGAATTAAAAACATCATACCAGAGTGATATGTCCACACCCATGTTTATAGTGGCACAACCTGGAATAGCTAAATTTTGGCAACAGCCCAAATGCCCATCAACTGATGAATGGATAAAGTTGTGGGGTTTTTATACAATGGAGTACCACTCTGCCATAAAAAAGGATAAGCTTGAGACATTTCTACCTAAACGGATGGACCTTGAGACCATACTTTTAAGTGAGATAAATCAAACACACATGTTTAAATACCACATTATTTCCCTGGGGTGGGAAGCCAAAAGTGGAAATAAGGACCGAAATGTATAAAAGATTTTGAAAAATGGGAAGAAAATGTTCAAATGAGCAAGCAACAAGGGGGGGGGGGGACCAGAATGAAAAAGAATAGAAGGGAAAATGTGGGTTTTTAAACTTTTTTTTTTTCCAGTTCCGGGGATCCAATTCAGGACCTTGTGGTTATAAGGAAGGTGTTGAGCCACTAAGTTAAATCACCAGTTTTTGTTTTTGTTTTTTGAGACAGGATCTCACCATGTAGTTCAGACGAGCTTTGAACTCACTATGTAGCCCAGGCTGATCCTCCTGCCTCTGCCTCCCAAGTGCTAGGATTACAGGTGTGCACCACCACACCTGGTTTATTTACTTGGTTGAGACAAGTTCTCACTATGTAGTTCAGGCAGGTCTTGTCTTGTTCTTTCTTTCTTTCTTTCTTTCTTTCTTTCTTTCTTTCTTTCCTTCCTTCCTTCCTTCCTTCCTTCCTTCCTTCCTTCCTCTCTCTCTCTCTTTCTTTCTTTCGTACTGGGGATGGAATTCAGGACCTTGCACTTGCTTGTGAGGCAGGCACAATGCCACTGTGCTAAATTCCCAGCTCAGGATGGTTTTGAATCCACTATGCACCCTCCTGCCTCAGCCTCCGCACTGGTTTAAATACACTATTTGTGAAGGAGCAAGTGAATGAACTGCCAGTGAGGTGTCGGGCCCAGGCTCACCTGAGCTCGGAGGCGGGGCCCGAGGACAGGCGCGGGCGTGCAGGTGCCGGTAGGGACTGCCGCTTTTGCTTGAGGCTGAGCTCCCGAGCCAGGGCACTCTTTTCCTTCTCGTTTTCTCGCTCTTTGTCCTTCTTCTCCTTCTTCTGCACCTGGCAGGGAGGAACGAGAGGAGCAGCAGAGGTCAGAGCGCGGGCATTCTGGGACTCGGCCTGCCTGTCCCGACCTGTGCGGCCACTCACCGGCGAGGCCTCGGGTCGGTGGCGAACGTGCGCGGGGCTGCCCCCGGCGCTGGGCTTGCGCCGCTCCCCGTGCTCCCCGGAGGCGGGGGCGCAGCGGTGCACACTTCGGGAGGCAGTGCACGGCGTCAGGGGGCTGGCAGAGGCCGAGCGCGGGCACACGGGCACGGCTGCGGAGGGACGAGGGCGGTCGGGGTGCGGCCTAGGCGGGAGGCTGGTCCCTGCCCGGCCCCTCACCGGACGTCTCCCAGAGCCGCAGCCCCTACCCTGGTCCCGGCCGTTGCGGGGCAGTGTGACTGCGCTGCGACTCCGAGCCAGGAAGGAGAGGGTGGGCGTCATCAGACGATCCACGATGCTGCTCTCCCACGCGCTCAGCTGCAAGCTGCGATCTGGGGGATGAACACCAAGTGAAGCTGTTACCGTGGGTCGAGGCATAGGGGGAGACCAGGTGCTGTCCCCATGCCAAGCCCAAGGATTCTCACCCAGGAGGACTGTCCCCCCCAATCACGCGGGGGCCACGCTTGTCCTCTCTGAGAGCTGGACCTCCACTGCAGACCCAGGCAACAAAACACTTCTCAGGGCAACATTCTGCATGCTTCAGGGTCCCCGCCTACCAATCTCCCCAGGTGAAAGGGCTTGGCACTGCGAGCATAGGAAGGAGCCACACAGGACTGGCAGAACACTGAATAGCCCTCTCCCATGTCCCTCTTAGGGGCCCTGCATTTCCTGCTCTCAGAGCACTGCCCTGGGGTAGTCATGCTTGCATGGATCGGGGACAGTGGGCGTCTTTACACTCCTCTGACCCAGCCTTTAGGAGTCCTCTGCCGGGTAGAGGCTGCTTCGGGGCCTGGCTGCCCTAAGCCACCCTGCTCTGTCCCCTCAGCTGCTGGGTTATTTTTAAGCCTCAGTCAGGTGGGGTTGGTGCAGCAGCTGATTTGGTTGCTAGGCAACAGAGCAACCAAATAAAAGCTGGCTAAACACAAATAACTCCTATCATGGCTCCTTCATATGTAAGCACCAGGGCACGGTGGGAATGAAGAGGCTGTGCCACCCTGGTTGGCTGCAACTCTGGAACCAGCCAAGACTGCAGCTGGGGCTCTAACAGCAGAGAGGGGAGAACTGCATGGCCTTCTAGGGTGGAGCCAGAATAACATCCCCACGCGGCACCCAGGCCAGTCTGACACATGGGGGCAAAGCCACCTGTCAAAGATTGGCTCAGGCCAGCTGGCTGTGGTTGGAAATGAGGCTGCCTGCCCATTCCCACCCCACTGCCACTACCCCCAAGTTGCTCTGGAGGCCTCTGCCAGGCTTTCTGCACTCTTAGCCTTTGTCCTTTGTCCCTGTTCTCCTGCAGGGCACAACTCTGTCCTTAGGATCCAGACCCAAATGCCGGCTCCCCCAAAGGGCAGAGAGACCCAAGTGGGGTAGAATGGGGATGGGGACCTAATGTGTGTGAGGGCTCCAGGGACTGGTGTCCTTGCTAAGCTCTGGAGGCTTGGGTGGGCTCTGGAGGGGGAAGGCTGGGCCTTCTCTTACTTCTACTGGGGGAGTTCCAGAGCGTGGCAGAGGACTTTGAGAGCCGCTTGTTGATTATAGAGTCCACGTGTTTGGGCAGGTTTACTGCCGACACGGAGCACCTGCTCCCACCTGGAGGGGAAAAGACACGGCATTAGGGCCGGGCCGGAAGGGGAGCCAGGGGGGGCACTGAGGCCTTCCATGCAGGATGCTCCGAGGTCAGGGTGGGAGAGGGAGGAGTGGGCAGGCTGGGGTGGGGAGGAGGAGGTAGATTTGGCCCTGGGAGGGGAGGGGGGGATGGGTGACCAGAGACAACCTGGGTTGGGGGAGCCGATGGAGAAGGAGCAGAGGGAGGAGATGTTGTGAAACTAGAAAACTACAGCCTTCCTGGCCAGACCAAAGGAAGCCATTCCCTAGGGCTGGGTGCTGCGACCCCTCCCCACAACCATCCAGCATTGGCACTTGCTGACACTGCCCAGCCAAGGCGATACGGATACAATACCCACATACTGGAACAATGCAGAAACGTTCTAAACAGAAGAGTCCACACAGTCACTTGCACAAATCCACATATTCACCCAGACACATAAAGACAAAGACATGCAGACACAGGCATAGAGAGTAGTAGAAACTTATGCATGCACACGTGTGCAGACATGCACAGAGAGTAACACAAATAGCTGATAATGTGCCAGACCCAGATGCACACAAGGCACAAATACATCAAAGCAACCTAACCATGATATTTATAACAGCTAACATATGATGATGCTTACCATGTGCCAGGCACTGAGCTGGGCACCATACACATGTTACCTCACTTGATCCTCCAAACATCTACCTACAACCTCGGAGGCAAGTAGTACTGTTATCCCCACTTCACAGATGCAAAAAAGTGAGAGGTCGAAAAGTTAAAGGTCACACCGCCAGGGCCAGAGCTGGAACCCAAGTCTGTCTGATATAGGAGCCCTCACTGAGGTTCACAAGGCCACAAACACACCATTTAAACACAGTAAGCTACACAACACAGATCCGTGAGCATACACCAGGATATACACAACTAAAACTATAGAGCCTTCCCATTGCATAAAGACATCCAAACACAGTGGTACATACATGGCAGTAATGACTCAGACCAAATACATGGTGAGCCTATGTGAGAAGAACTCAGAGACAAAAATCTACCTTCCAAGACAGGGGGTGACAGTTTTCTTTAAATATCCAGTGCCTGTAGGCAGTAAAGTCCTCTTTTATGTATCATCAACTAATATAATTGACAGGAGCAAAGAAAGCTACTCCTAAAATGAGAGGTTTGAAGAGCAAACCAAATGAAGAGAATCCATCTCTGATTAGATAGTGGAGGTCCTTGGATAGGGACCATTTGTTTTATAGACCATTCCGGAAGACACACATCACACAAAACAAGACACATCTGCTGCTAGCCCCTTGTATGGAAGCTATCCCCCTCCCCCTTGCCAGGCCCAGCCTTGGCCAGCCACCCTCAAACCCTTTCCGCCCACTCACTGGTCTTATTTCCTGGGGAACTGTGATGAAGGGCCCCTGCCCAGGACCAGCGCTGCTGCCGGATTTCAGCCCAGGTCTTCTTCACTGACCGCTGGATGGCTGCTTCATAACGTTCCTGGGGGCAGGTGGGGAGAAGTGAAAGATCCGCACTCAGAATCATCTCTTATACCTGGGAGAGAGGCTTTGTCCCTCCTGTGACAATACTTCCCCTATCCATTTCCTCCTGAATCACGGCAGCTAACCAAGGTCACTGAATCCTTGCTGCAATTAGGGACCATGTCCAATAGATCCTTTTCTACTCCTTCTTGGAGAGCTTTTCACTATTCTTGAGTCATTTCCTGGGTGTGTGAGTTGCTTCTCTGAGGATGAGGAGGGACTCTCCCTGTCTGGGGCTCCTAGGCAAAGCCAAGTTCCCCCTGGCACTGGGACTGAGAGTCCTGACCTTAAGGCTATCCATATTCTTTTAGGCTGAGGCCGCCATACAAGGCCAGGCCATTTCCTTCATGGCTTCACCAGCACTTAACCCAGACTCTACTCATGTGATGAAGCCAAGTCTATCACCAACACATATGTCCATTATATAGACACACAGGCATAGTCGCTGGGACCTACACTGCATGTATGGGAACAAATGAGTCTGCATTTGCAAAGATGCCCAGACACTGTAACCAAGGACACTGTTGTAGATGTGAATACAGAGACAGAGAGCATGGAGGGATGAACAGCAACTTCGCCAGATATGGATATGTGGGAATGGTGCAGGCAGATCTGTGCAGACCCAGGTGGAATCAGGGGATGAACACACCTTGTTTTTCTCCAGCTTCTGCCGCTGCCGCTCCTCCAGGGCAGCTCTGCGTTGCTCAGCTTTAAGACGCTGTTCCTCCAGCCGCCGGCGGCGCTCCTGGAGCTGTTTCTCACGAAGCACCTTGGCCTTCTCCTCCTTCTCCAGCCACACTGCTTTCTTGGCCGCTGTGGGGAAAGGAGCCCCATGGATGTGAGGGGAACCTCCTCCGAATGTCCTCCCTGCTACCTTAACCCAGGCAGTCTCTCTCCTGCCTGCCTAGGCAGGACCTCCACTTCCAAACTCTTCTCACATTCAGGAGGTTCCTCAAGACAGTATTCCCCCTCACTGGCCTTAGGGACTCAGTGGTGAAGGAGAAATAAGTTCTAGTTCCTTTGTTTTTCATGGTACTCAGTAGTGAATATAGGGCTTCCAATTGAGTTACATCCCCATCCCTTATTTATTTATTTATTTATTTATTTATTTATTTTTGGTACCGGGGATAGAACTGAGGTCCTTTTGCTTAAGCAGCAGGTGGCGAAACCACTGAGCTAAATTACCCTGGCCCCATCCCTTTTTATTCTTTTTATGTTGAGACAAGGTCTGGCTAAGTCACTAAGTTGCCCAGGCTGGACTCAAATTTGCAATCCTCCTGCCTAAATCTCCTAGAGTGCTGGGATTGCAGGTATGTACCACTGTACCTAAACAGCGTGAAGTTTCCATCCAACTTGGGGGCCTACTGAACAGATTTCTATATATTGTGGCTAAGAGCATGGATTTGGAGTGAGGTGGGGGTTCTGGGTCAGAATCTCAGCTACCCTACTGGCTGTGTGGCTTCGGTAAATGACTTCATCTCTTTGAACCTGTTTCCTCCTCAAAATGGGCTGGGAGGATCACAAGATATAATGCCTTTCCTGCTCTTAGCACAGTGAGTGTGAAGTTTTCCAGTAATGTCAGCGTTACTCATAGGATGCTGATGACGACGATGACAATGAAGGTGACTCTTTCTACTCACCCAGGTACTTGGCCCGCTCTTCTCGCCGCTCCTTTGCCAGCTTATGTCTCTCTCCTGGCTTCTTTACATCTTAGCAGAGGAAACAAGAACAGACAGGTCAAAAGTTCTGTCCAAGAAGCCAGCAGCTTTGGGATCCTCTTTCCCAGTCTCGCCTCCTCTTTGTCCCCAGGTCCCACAGAGCAAAGGGGATTCTTTCTGGGGGGTACCACCCAGGATTGGGACCTGAGCCAGGATATCACATGTACCTTGCTTGGGGGGAGGGCTGTCGGAGGCTGGCACTGCTATTGGGGCTGGCTCGCTGCTCCTCTGAGGAGGTCTAGCATCCTGTGGGCCTGTGGCTGGTGGGCTCTTTGCTTCTGATGAAAGGGATTCCTCCGGTGGGGGGACTGGCCTATGATCAACCTGCCCTGGGGAGCTCTCTGGTTCCAGTGGGAGCTGCTTAGGGCTAATGGCATTCTTCATGGCAGGAGGGGTGTCTGGAGGAGTGTCAGGGACCAGGGATGACGTTGGTGGTGGTGGTGGTGGTGGGGAAGGGTCACCTTCTGGAGAAGGTCTTGGCTCTGATGGGATCCTGGCAGCCATAGCTGAAAGACCAATGCAAAAGACAACATAGTGTCAGATTGTGGATCTATGCATCAGCTCAACACATAGCTATTTCCCTTGTCCAGCAGACATATTCACTCACTCACACATGTTCTTTGCATGCCTGGCCCAGTATGTTCCAGGTATGAACAATATGATGGTAAGGAGATAGCCAAGACTCCTGCCTCTGTGGAACTCATCTTCTAGCAGGACAGACAGACAGCTAGGAAATTGCAGTAGAGTAAGTACTATGGCTCCAGCAGCATAGCAGAGATGATTAACATATCTTTGGGGGTTTCCTGAAAAAGTACCACCCAAGCTATGATCTGAAGGATGAGTTGGAGTTGGCAAAGCAAGGAAGAGAGGCCTGTGGCAGAGAAGAATGTGAGCAAAGGGCTGAAGGTAAACAAGGTGTGTTGGGAAAAATGACAAATATCTGTAGCACTTGCTAGTGCACCAAATGGTAATGACTGGTTTCAATGTCTGCCTCCCCCACCTTTCTACTCTTCTCTGGGTCACTGTGTCCAACCTAGGGCTAAGCACACAGAGCTGACCAAGGGAAAGCACACAGAGCTGACCAAGGGAAAGCATACAGTTTGGCATGGGCACAAGCCAGATGCCAGTGTTGCTAAAACCACCGGGGGAGTGGGCAACTCTCTGTGTCTATGTATTCTTCATAACCATTTTTCCCCATTCACCTTTCTTTTTTTTTTTTTTGGTACCGGGGATTGAACTCAGGTCCTTGAGGTTGTGCAGCAGGCAGCTAAAGCACTGAGCTAAATCCCCGGCCCTCACCTTTCTTTTTTAAAAAAATTTATTTATTGTTTATTTTGTGGCACTGGTATTGAACTAGGGCCTTTACGCTGAACTACCTCCCCGGCACTGTTCCCCTTGTTTTTTGTTTTGGCAATGTGTCTTTCACTGTAATGTATTTTTTTAAAAATTTAAACATTCACCATATGTTTTCCATCACACCTTATAAAAGACACCAAAGTGCCAAGCAGGAAAGGCACAGAATTTGGCAAATACACATTTTTTATGCATGTGTATGTGGCGAGGCAGTTGATTATCAGGCTTTAGAATCAGTCAACTGAGAGTCCAATTCTGATTTCACCATTCCAAGACAAGAAGGCAAGCCTGTTTCCCCAGCAGGTAAACTTGGGCAAGCAATTCAACCGCTCTGAGTCTCAGCTTTCATATCTATGGAATGGGCATAATGAGCCCCACCTAATAGGGATGTCAGTTAAGTGCTTGGTGTAATTCACATGCCACCAAATGACACTTCGCTCTCTTTCCAGATGGGTCTTATGATGCCTGCAGATCTCTCAAAGAAGATCTGTGGCATGTTGAGCCCTGGTGCCATCTGCTTGCTGCTGTCCTCTGGGCACTGAGGGAATCCATGGGGGTCACAGCCATTGACTGGGAGAAGGGTGGCACCTGGGGAAAGCATTTTTATTCTTTCTGGGGGCCTTCTCCATTCTAGGTCCTTTGTCCTGGGAACTCTGGCCCTCTCAGGGTGGGGCAAACTCCACATCTCTGTGGGTGACAATGTATATTCAGGGAGGGGGGTCCAACCCCAAGGAGTCATCTTTAGGACTCTAGGTGTCTTCTCCAGGGAGGTGGGAATCTAATGGTTAGTTAGTTAATTAATCTAATGAGTTCTGAAGCCAGACTATGTGAATATGAATTCTGGCTTCCTCACTACCTGTGAGACCTTAGGCCAGTTATAGATCCTGTCTGTACCGCAACTCCTCTCCTACAAAGTGCAGATAAGACCTTCCTTACAATACTGTGATGAGTGTTAGTTATAAAAGCCATTAACATTTGTATATTTATTGAGCGCTTCCTAAGTACAAAGTGTTTTACACATCCTAGCTAATCCTACCTGCTATAAACATCACTTTCAAGCTGGGGATAGTGGCACACAGCCGTAATCTCAGCACTGAGGGAGGCTAAGGCAAGTACAAAACTGAAGGAGACACTGTCTCAAAATAAAAAATAAAAAGGACTGGGGTTGTAGCTCACTGGTACAACCCCTCTGGGTTTGATCCCCAGAACCACAAAAAACAAACAAAAACTCTTTCATACAGATGAGGAAGGCATGGAGAGATTAGGTAATCTGAGGTCACTCAGCTGGTAAGTGACAGAGCCCAGACTTGAACCCAGCACCATCAGCAGAGCCCATGTGTGACACCCTCCTGTGTCTGTTTAAAGCAGCAAGAAGCAAGATGTGCTAGGTAATGAAACTACCCAAGGCTCACAATATTTCCTTTCATTCCTTCCCCTCCAGTGTCTTGGACTCCAACCAGGCAACCCAGCTGAGGCCTTATTTCTCCAGTGACTCCCTCCAACTCTGCCCAGCCCCTAGGCCAGTGACAGGCCCCCCAGCTCTCCCCAAACCAGTTAGAGACAGTAATCTGGTCACTGCCCATCTATTTCCCAGCCAGCTGCAAACTTCTTAACTAACTCCAATGGGCAACAAAACTAGCAACCACCAAAGGGCTGGGGATGTAGTTCAGTGGTGGTGCACCTGCTTGGCAAGCACAAGGTCCTGAGTTTGATTCCTGGTACCAGAAATTTAAAAAATACAAAACTAGCAGTCTTCACTTAGTGAATGCTTACTACTCACTGACAGATGCATCCTACACCCTCTCAACAACTCTGAGAGCCAGATACCCTTTCCTATTATACAGATAAGGCAACCAAGGCCCGCCCTGCTGGTGATTTGCCCAGGGTCATGAAACCAGTAGAGTGACCAGTCTGGATTTGAACCCGGGACTGTCTGGGGCCAAAGCCTGGGTGTGTAAGTACTAAACTTTAAGGCTGAGGGTGAGGCATGGCCATTGTCCTTCTCGGAGGAGGAGCGCATGCTGCAAGTGTTGCAAGGAAGGTTGGAGGTGGATATTTGTCTACACCTAGGCAAATTACACTACAGAAGACCGTGCATTCCCAAATAAGTCCTGACCAGCTGTGAGAAGGGAGGTCAGGAGGAGGAAGGCCTCTGGAAGGGACCCACACTGGGCATCAGATGCAGTGTAGCGGAGGTCTTAGGCTTCAAAGTCAGGCATGTCTGCGTAGGGATCCTGGCTCTGTGAGGGACCCTGGGCAAGCTCTGAACCTGTTTGAGCCTCAGTTTCCTCACCATGTTGTTGGTACAGATGGTGAGTAGGTCTGTCATCTCTGGCCCCAGCATTAAGCAGCACCTTTCCAGTGAATCTGTGCATTTCTCCTGGCCTCTGCCAAGGAGCCCTCTAGGTTAAGCCTTCACCCCACTGCTCTGCAACCTTGTTCTTCTCAAGGTCACCAATGACCTCCATGCTGCTTAATCCAATTTTCTCTTCCTTCCCTCCTTTCCCCATCCCCTCCTCCCTCTCTTTTCTTCTTCCTTCCTTCCTTCTTCCTTCCCTTCCTTCCTTCCTTCCCTTCCTCTCCTTTTTTTCCCTTCTTTCTGGTACTGGGGATTGAACCCAGGGCCTTGACACTGAGTTCATCCCCCACTCTGCCCCTTTTAGTTTTTTGGGTTTTTTCAGGTTATGAATGGGAACGATTTATTGAGAAAGATGGGACACATTCAAGAAGGGAGCACAGGTGCTCAAAGGAATGAGGCACACACAGTTGGGAGCTGAAGTAAGAAAAGCTCCTGAGAGACAGGAGAGGTCCCGAGTGGGCGGTCCCCTTTTTAGTTTTTTGAGACAAGGTCTCACCTATGTAGCTCAGGCTGGCCTTGAACTTACTATGTAGCCAGGCTAGCCTCAAACTCATGGTGATCCTCCTGCCTCAGCTTCCCAAGTGCTGGGATTACAGGCGTGCACCACCACAACTGGCCTTCCCCCAGCCCCTTTGTATATTTTATTTTCATTTTTGATTATGTTCATCGTTCATCATGGGGAGTTGGCATGTGTACATAACACATCTTCATTCTATGTCCTGACTTTTTATTTTGAGACAGGGTCTCACCAAGTTACTGAGTTGCCCAGCCTGGGATTGAAGTTGTGTCCCTCTTGCCTCAGCCTCTCAGAGTGCTGGGATCACAGGTGTGTTCCACCATACCCAGCTCAGCAGCCAGTGCTCGGCGTTTGACACAGCTGACCCTTTGGTGCTCCTTGAAACACCTGCCTCATTTGGTTTTGGAGATGACACTTTGGGTTTTCCTTCTGCCTTGCCAGCTGTGACGTGTCCTCTCTGCTAACCCCTCCCTAACTTCCTAACCTCCCAAGCTGCACTGCGTGCCCGCCCCGGGGCTCAGCTGAGGAGCTCACCACTAGTCTGTCCCCACGCTCCTCTGCTGATCTCATCCGGACTCATGGCTTTAAATACCATCCCTGTGCTGATGACAACCGAATTTGTTTCTGCAGCCCAGACCTCTCCCTGGAGGACCAGTTTCGCTCATGCAGCTCCCTTCTTGACACCCCAGGATGTCTCACAGATGCTCCAAACTTAAAAGTCCCAAACCAGGCTCCTGATGTTCCCCCAAAACCTCCTCCTCCCCCAGCTTAGTTTAAGGCAGCTCTATTCTTCCAGCTGCTGAGGCCCCTGGAGTCATCTCAGATTCTTTTCTTATTTTAAGCCCCGCCCCGTGTCTAATCTCTCAGCAAATCCTTTCAGCTTTATCTTCAAAAAATATCCCAAATCCAATCACTTTCACTGTCTCTACTTCTTTCACCTTGATCCAGCTGCTGCCCTGCCTGACCACAGACCCCTATTCTCATTCTTTGTTCACCTTTAGTCTTTTCTTAACACAACAGCCGCAGTGATTTTGTTTAAAAATAAGTCAGATCATGTTGGTCCTCTGACAAAATCCTCCGAAGATTCTCCAGCTTGAGGAGAGGAAACCTCAAGGATCAGCAGGACCCGCCCTCCCTCTCCAGCCCTCTGCCCTCCTGTCTTGGGGCTTTGGCACTTGCTGTCCTCTTTGCGGGCAAGTCGCTACCTCCATTTTCAGCTGGCCTCATCCCTCACTTCCTTCACATCTTCACTCCAATGTCACTTGACAATGAAGCTT